AGCATAGAATTATTTTTTCTATACCCATGAAAAATGAAGTTGGTATTTTAATAGGGATTTCATTGATACTGTAGATCACTTTGGGTAGGAATGACATTTTAACAATGTTGATTCTGCTGACCCACGAGCCTGGTATCATTTTTCACCTGTTACATTTTCTACTCTTTCCTTCCTTGTTGTTTCGTAGATCTCTCTGTAGAGATCTTTCACAGCCTTAGTTAAATATATTTATAGGTATTTTATTTTATTTGTTGCTATTGTGAAGAGTATTGAGTCTTTGATTTGGTTCTCAGTTTGACTGTCATTGGCATATAGGAATGCTACTGATTTCTGTACGTTGATTTTGTAACCTCAGACTTTGCTGAATTTGTCTATCAATTCCAGTAGTCTCATGGCAGAATCTTTTGAGTTTTCTAGATGTAAGATCATATCATCAGTAAAGAGCAATAATTTGACCTCTTCTTCCCCCATTTGCATACTCTTGATTTTATTCTCTTGTCTGATTGTTCTGGCTAGAACTTCCAGCGTTACGTTGAATAGAAGTGGTGATAAAGAGCAAACTTGTCTGGTTCCAGTTCTAAGCGGGAATGTTTTCAATTTTACCCTGGTCATTAGGATGTTGGTTGGGGGTTTTTCATATATGGCTTTTATCATTTTTAGGTAAGTCCCATCTATGCTTATTTTGTTAAGTCTTCTGATCATAAAAGGGTGTTGAATTTTGTTCAATGCTTTTTCTGTGCCACTTGAGAGGATCATGTGGTCTTTGTTTTTACTTCTATTTATGTGGCAAATTACATTTATAGGTTTGCATATGTTCAACTATCCCTGTATCTCTGGGATAAAGCCTACTGGTTGCAATGGATTATTTTTTTTGATGAGCACCTGAATTTGGTTTACTAGGATTTTGTTGACAATTTTTACATCTATATTCATAAGAGATACTGGTCTGCAGATTTTCTTTTTTTTTTTTTTTTTTTTTCATCCTTTCCTGGTTTTGGTGTCAGGGTCATGTTGGCTTCATAAAACATGTTGGAGAGGATTCCTTTCTTCTCAATGTTGTGGAAGAATTTCTTCAGGATAGGCACCAGTTCCTCTTTGTAGGTCTGGTAAAATTCGGGTGTGAAACCATCTGGTCTATGACTTTTATTAAAAGAAGGTTTTTTATTGCTGCTTCAATTTGAGTACTTTATATTGGTCTGTTCAGTAACTCTATTTCTTCCTGACTGAACCTAGTGAGGCTATGTGTTTCTAAGAATTTGTCCAATTCCTCCAATTTTCAATTCCTTCAATTTTATGTGCCTAGAGGTTTTTATAATATTCATAGATGATATGTTGTATTTCTGTGGTATCAGTTGTAATTTCTAATTTTTCATTCTTGATGGAGCTTATTAGAGTCCTTTCTTTTCTGCTTCTCATTATTCTAGCAAGATATGTATTGATTTTGTTTATCTTTTCAAAGAATGAACTTTTTGTTTATTAATTTTCCATATAGTTTTTTTATTGTCAATTTTATTTAATTCTGCTCTGTCTTTGTTATTTCTTTGCTTTTCTGCTGGGTTTAGGGTTGGTTTGCTCATCCTTTTCCAGTTCTTTTTCAAATGATTCATTAGATTGTTGATTTGTGATCTTTTTGTTTTTTTGGACGTAGGCATTTATGAATATAAATTTTCCTCTCAGGACTGCTTTAGCTGTGTCCCACAGATATTGATAAGTTGTATCCCCTCTATCATTTAGTTCAAAGAATCTTTTGACTTCCATCTTAATTTCCGCCTCAACTCAATAATCATTCAGTCAAAGGATCTTTAGTTTCCATGACTTTGTGTAGAGATGAGTGTTTCTGTTGGAGTTGATGTCTAATTTCAT